TTGCTGCTATCCCAAACCCAAACTTTCTTGTTGTCGTGCTGTCCTTTTTTGGTCAATCTATAGACTGAAGGCCTATCGGATAAAAACCGTTTGAACAGTCCTCTCCCCAAAGTCCTCAGCATTCCGGACCACTTCGCGGACTCATTCCGCACCTACTCCAGCGACCCTCCGATCTCGAGACGAACCGTCCACTCCACCGACCGGGACCGCCCGCGCTGGGAGCGCCCGGACCGGCTCCAGGGGCGGTGGCAGAAGTGGCAACGGGGCGCCTCGGAGAAGTGGCAGAAGCTGCAGCTCTTGCGCCAGGTCTTGGCCACGCTTTGGATGCCCACCGTGTGACTCAGGTGAAGAAGAACGGTGTGGATTTAGGACTTGCGCCAGTCAGTTGGGCTGGCTTGAGGAGTCTTAATGTGTATATAACGGAGTGGCTGTCAGGTATCTTAGGGCAGTCTTGGGTGATTCCTTATTATCCGATCTTCATTATTCCTGGTTCCTGGGTGAATCCTGTGACGTGGGCAATATGTTTTTTACGTGTTCCCCGGGTTCCGAGCAAAGGAAATCCAAGATGAGCGGTTCCCCCAACTCAGCAGGGTCTGTTTTGGACAGACCGCACGATTTCGGTGTGCCCTGGCCAGTTGTCCCAAATGTTTGCATTGCTCCACAGGTCTCGACAATCCACTTGAGATGGCTTCATCCGACTGCTCAGCTCAATTTGGAGCGGCCATTCTGCGCTGAAAAACACATCATGTTGGCAAGGAACAGCCTTAACAGCTGATGTGTCAATGTGTGGACTTCATGATGTGAGCGAGCGTCATATGTCATAGCATGTCATAGCCGTCAACTGTCAACTTAGAAAACAAAGTAGAGTAAGAGGTCTATGAACCTGCAACACCCTGCGACTACTGATTAATACCTCCCTCCGACCCTTTTGAATTCCGCAGCGTTCCAAGACCTTCACCTTGTGAGTAGCCTACTTGTATAAGTACTGCAAAAACTCCTGTGGGTCCTGGCTCTTTGGAAAGACTCCTCAAAGACGTTGGGACCGGAAAGCTTGCTGAAACTCCTGTGTTCCGTGAAGATTGGTCTCCTGAGGCTTTGGGGCAATACTGCCAGGAGCTGGTGGCTGCCAGCCATGGCCCTGTCTCACACGACTCTGGTCTTGGGCATGGCACATCATGCGCAGGCTCCTTTGTGGAAATATGTGGAAATCTAGATTTGGAATGCCGTGCCTGCCCCACTGCTGCTACATGCTAGTACATGCTACGTAGGATGAATACCAATACTACTTTCGGATTGCAATGACAAATGCTACCACAAGAGGACTAGTTAGTCGTATAGTACTGGGGCTAAACAAGGCAGCACTGCTGCTGCTGCTGCTGCTTCCAAGAAAGAATTCTTTTTCGCTGACATTTCATTGCTTTCCGAGCCTCGCCCAGGGACGCTTGAGGCGCTTGCAAAAGCCAGGCCCGGTGAAATGTCGACCGGCTCAGTTAGATCAGACTCTGACCGACAGTCGGCCCTACAAGTCCACCAAGGCCCATTCGGCCTAAGCTAAACCTGGTCCTTGACCTCATTGAGTACTGCTTTTGCATGACCGGATCCAGTAAAATGTCAGGTCCTTGAACTGTAGGGCGAGGTCGGAGGTGAACTCAGGCTGCCTGGTCTTCCGTCTGGTACCCAGCTCCATGACTTCACCATCCACCCTGGTCCCTTGACTGACCCTGACTGACTGACTTCGACCTAACTGACTCTCCAAGTCCCAGACTTTCCATGTATGGTATATATGCCTACATTGACCCCCTTTCAACCACCCCTGGCCTGATCGGCATATGGCAGTCCCATGGGTCGTGTCTGGCTATGGGGTCCATTGAGCCGGGACATTCGGACCCACGACCACGACCTCCGCCCGGCTCGGTCGGGGACGAACTTCGCCGGTGGATCCGTTGGGACGCAGGCGTGCGACTGGTGTCCTCACTGACCTCCGAACGGCCATGTCCTGCACCCCCGAGCGCCTGGCGGGGTGATGCGGGGTAGGGCCGGGGAGAGCGGGGACGACCAGGGGCGGCGTTTGGTAGATTTGAGGGGTCAACTGTAGATTCTTTCAATACACCCGTGTGGCTTCCAGTCGTACCTTCTGAGGTTCGGGGAGACTGGGGTGGTTGTCCAGTCATACCTTCGTTTCGGAGGTAAGACTGGAGCCCTGTGGGACGACTGGATCGTCTCAGTGCATTGGACGTGGGAATTGAGTCCTCCGTAACCTCTGTCCCCTCTCCTCATTTGGGGAGGTGCCTTAATCCCATTGAGTTCCTTTCAGGGTGGAACACCGAGCAAAAACCACTTCCAAAAGAATACATCGCTTATAACAGTGGTGAGCTCACTGGCTGGCAGGTTAGTGTGACAAACTGTGAACGGGTTATGGTGACACCTTTTCTTTTGGGGGGAGGGGGTTTACTAGCTGTTGCTCAGGAGAGCTAAGAAGCCGCGGAAGTCTCCAGTTTTAGGTCAACAGGGAGCCGGGTCACTCGGAGCAAACCGACTGGGAGTTCCCCTATATAGTAAACGCTGGGAGGAGGTTCCCTACTGCGTTCGCAAAGACTCTTGTCCTCCCATACCCTGCAGATTAACGTGTTGACTCTCAAAACCACGGGGAACAAGGGCAATTTGGATTGGCGCAATTTGCTGTCTTGCAAGTGAAACATGCATGAAGGGTTCAAGCTGTTTCAGAGCTTGATACTGATTCCTCTTCCAGCACCAGCCAGTTTGGGTGGTTTATGGACTCCCCTCATGCTATTTGTTATTATTTGCTCACCATCCAAGACGCAGACGTGGAGATACGCCTATACATCCCCGGGTCAACCACCCCAATCCCAAGATCTCGTTAAAGATGCCAGTCCCAAACAGTTTGTTGGAATGGGAGAATCCGACTTGCAGAAAAAGAAGTTCTTTTCTTATAAGAAACATCCGCCAGCAGTCACATGTCGGGGTGCCGAACTGGAAGGAAAGAGTGAAATTGTGGTGCCCCTGTCACCTCCACTCACGTATACGAAAAGATCAGCACAGCAGCCCCAAAAAGGCTGCGCGTGCTTTGGGCCTCCTTGCTGGCATTGAATGTGACCTGGACCCATCTTGGAGCCTTGATCTACCACTACGACCGCAAGGTCAGCCCGAGCCTTGACGTTCCGTGGGATCCGGTCCGGAAGGACACCGATGGTTGAGCTGATCAGGGGAGGGAGCTGATGAGCTTTGGGGAGGTCAGGGCATTCCGGAAAGCTTCCAGAACTAGCGTATTCCAAGCAAATTAGAAGCAAGTTCATGCACGTTCGGCAAATCAGACCAGGTCTTGCCTTTGCTCTTGGCATCTTTTGGGATGAAAGGTGGTCTTCCTTCCTGAGGCGTAGCCTGCGCTGCTTCCGTGGCTTCCTCTTGACCTTGGGCTTTTGCGCCCTTCGGACGGTGACCACGTGAGCAGCGTTCTAAATTCACCCTTTCTTTTTAGTCAGGGACGGCGAAAAATAAGTGAACATACGGAACATAGTGATTTTAGCTGATGTTTGTAAGGTGTCCGTAAGGTTTGCCGTAAGGATGTGCAGACTTGAACGATGCCGGAAGGCTACCGGAAGCGACACTTGTTGATTTTGATTATGTTTCCTTTCTTGTCTTGCAACAACATTTCATATGTGACCATAGTGGACTTGCATACCTTCGCCGTAAGCACAACGTAAGAATAGCCATGCATATATGTGTCACCGTAAGCAAAACATAGAAAAACGTAAGCTTGCGTAAGGCCTACCGTAAGGTTTGATTTCTCTGCAAGAAAAGACAACACAATTTTGATCACCGCTCACGTGTCTTTTTGCATGGCACGGAAAGGAGCTGACAGAGGGAACACATATAGCAAGGCCCTCGGTTTTGAACACCCCTTAAGGGCCCTGGTATGAAACAGCATAGCAAATCAGCTGATAGCAACCACTACAGTATGTCAGGTTTGTCCTAACCACGTTTGTTTCTTGGCTTCTGAAGCTTAATCAAGGCCCAGCAAATCCATTCAACTCCCTTCGCATGTCTTGTGAACTGATGAGCTTCTTCATTCAGTTTTCTCAGCTCTAGAGACTTAGTTCTAATATAACGTTAACATCTTACAACCTGCGACTTTGTCTCGCTGTACCAGCAGAAGTTCTGCGGAAGTGAAGAACGGCTTAAGGCACCGGAAGTCGCTGCCTTCGTCGCTGTCACTCAGGTTGGATCTTGGAGTCTGGCATTGCAATACGTCTATTCCGAGTGGATCTTCCTCCGGAGCGGCGTGCGGAGCTCCCATTTCTTGTACACAGAGACCCTAGTCGACAGATGGGGAGAGCAACAGAGCGACAGATGGCACCTGTTCCCCGAGTCTACACGTATTTTTTTTTCTGAGTCTACAGTGTTGCAGTTGAATTTCTTGAATCTTGGTGCGCCGATAGCTACAAAGGGCCGAAGAGACGGCCGCTGTGTTGCGTCTTCGACTTCGAAGAGTCGAAATCCCTAACACCCTGAAGGTCAGGGGGTCTCACTGGACCTGGCCAGGGACACATGCTTCACTTTGATGATTCACACCGGTCAGACTGGACTTGTAGGGCCGGGTGTGATTCCTTGGGGTCATCTCTGACATGTTCATGTGTACTTCATGTCGGGCATTGGTTAGTAGTGGAAAGGCATCGTACCAGTTGTTCTTCATGTGCAAACCCTAGGGCTCCTGGCCCACCTCCGTTTCGAAGGTGGTTGGGGTGGGTGCGGGGTTGGAGCCCAAACGGATAAATCAGTTTGGAACTTTGGACCGAACACTCGTCTCAGTCCGCTGAACAAGAGTCAATTGGATTAATTTTTGCTCATCGCATCTCCTTGCTGAATGGTGCTACCCAGACCATCCATGTATGGAATACATAGTTTTTGGCCCATCCATGTAGGTTACCAGTGACCAGTCCGGATGGTCTGGGGACCTTGCGATCGCACGCATCGCATTGCGTGTTAGATATAGAGGGGGTAGCATAAGTGAACATATAATATATACGAGCACCCTCCAACAGGCTGTTAGTTGAGGGTTGTTGGACCCTAACAGGTCTCAATTGGTGACCTGTAGAGTCGGGTGCTGGTATGGATGTCTACATTTGGTACCAACCTGGATCCCAGAATGTTCTTCCCCAAGAGGATACCATTGCACCAAGTCTTTCAGGATCGGATCGAGCGACAGACGTGACCTCTCTCGGTCGTTTGACTCGAGGATTGCCTATGTCTTGGAAGACAGCACGGAGCAAACTCGGGCAAATTCTTGGAGTAATTCCTGAGGGAGATGAAGAAGCACCTGTCGTAGCAACCAGGTACGCATCTGTCATTCGTGGGTCGTTGCCTGAAGACTTTATACCCTAAGAATCCTTGGGCTCTCCATGGCAGGGGTCGGACCCGACACCGAAACGCAGGGAGAAAAGAGCCCCTTCACCAAACCCTATCTGTTGCTTAAGGGGCCCGGATTCTTAGGGCTGACTGCATTCTTTCTAAGACCTGGAAGCTTTGACTGCGCGTTTTCGTCCTGCATTCTTTCGCTCGTGTTCGCTCCCGCTCGTGCAACGACGCACCAGGCCAGGGCGACGCCACCGCTCCGTCGTCGACGTGAACCGCATCGACCGAGACGGCGACGGTGAAGGCAGTAAAAGGAGCTGACCTGCCCCCATTCTGTTTTTGGGTAGTAATTATAGTGGTGGCACCCCATGGAGCGAGCAACAGCAAGAACAGGTCGAGTTCGTTTGGTGAAGCCTTTTGTTTCAGAGAGGCAACCGGCGAAAGGGAGTGGAATGAAACTTGGTGCAACAGAGGGGAAAGGCAGCGGTGAGAGTGGTGCAACGAAGGAACGTTGACATGAACTTGTGCATTGAAGAGACATTACGATTTGATTGGATGATATGATTAAATTGGATAAGTCACGATGATTCTTTCTGTTGTTTGCTCCACTGCATGGTATATCTTATTTTGCTGCGCGGCAGCGAAGGACCATGTATTATGATGTTCAGCGCAGATTTCATCTTTAGGATTCCGGGGCCGCGTCCAAGGTAGACTTGTCATATTCCTGGTGCCGTTGTCCAAGTGGTCCATCACCGGGGATTGGTTGAGGTGGACAAAGATTTCACCATGGTCAACCTGTGATTTTCCAGGGAAAGTGAGTGGTTTGGGTATACCGAACGAACTCGGGGATGACCTAGTATCCGGGTCTCAGAGATCCGAAAGGGCTGCTCTGGTGCTTTGTTATGGGATGCAAGTTGGTGTGAGAGGAAAAAAAACGGTATTTTGGGTGGTGGGTGGTCGACTAAGGTTATCATATAATATACTAGTGTGCAACATTGGTGCTGATGAGAATGTTTTGGATGTGCGGGATATGTCATTTGCAAGGTTTATGGAAGTACCCTGCTATTTGTCCATGCAGGGCTACTTTTTCTGTGATTTTTTATGTTGAGTTTGGGAAACATTTTGTGGATTTGCTTCTTACTGTGTTTCCTTGCTTCTCTATGACCTCTCCTGCTACTCTTGGCTTTCCTTGCTTCTCATTGCTTTTCTGTGGTTGGTTCGCTTTTTGTGCTTTTTGTGCTTGTTCTGCTCTTCTGTGCTTGTTTATCTTTTCCTGGCTTTTCAAATGCTTGATTTTTCTGACTTTTCCGGCTCCTAAGCCGCGCTTGGTTTGGTCTTCCTGGCTTTTCTCCTCTACTTTCTGGTCTTTTCTCGTCTTTTTGTGGCGTATTGATCCCGTTTGCTGTAATGTGTTTTTCTTTCTACGGTCTGTATTGCTTTCACTTTTGATAGGCTGGTTTTCAATCCTTGAGATACTGTTGCTTTATGCGTGCTTTTTCTGTCTTTGTATGCCTTTCCCACTCTTTGTTTTCTGCTCCACTAGTGGTTGCGTTTTAGTTCACCTTAATGAACAACCCAAGTGCATCATGTGAACAACACTATTTCATTCTGTACGTCTTCCCTTCTTGATTATGATGCACTTGTCTCATGTTTGCGGCCGTGCGGCTGTTAGGTGACTTTAGGTAGAGCAGGATGAGATGGGACTTGTGGCACCGTTTAGAGAGCAGTCTTGTATTGGGTTGCGTGGGCAATCTGGTGATGTTTCGCATTATCTTCTTTATGGTTCGATTGTGTGAGTTCCCATGCATATATGTTTTTCTAAATCCCATGTCATCCCAGGGTAGTATAGCTTTTTCACTTCCACTGAAGGAACTATAGCAAAACCGCAACCGCACAAAGAATTCCCCAAACACAACCCCTTTCGAGTTCCACTGCAGGAACTATAGAGAAACCACGAAGGCAAACAAAATCCCCAACCGCATCGCACCCTTTGTTCAACTGCGGTATCCAACGCCATCACAGCAGAAGTCTTGTCGCAACTGCAGTCGTGGCTCGAAGCCAGATGTGTCACGCAAGGCTATCCCCTTATGCAAGTGATGCATGTTGAAGGGGGAACCAGTTTGGATCATGGTTCACATTGACGAGACCATGCAAAACAGCCATGCCGCACCTTGTTCCGAAGGCAGACGAGCAGCAAAGTCCATTACTCGTAGCATTGACTTCAAAGTCGGAGAGTTCAAGTATCCCGTGCTCCCAACACACATGACCTCGTGCATTGGGGATCATTTGGGTTTCACTAACACTTAGCATTAGTTTGTTCCATGGAGAATTCAGGGTCCAGCTTTGCCAAGCATTGTTTTGTGTTTTTGACTTGATCATTCACTTGTCAGCCGCATGAAAAACCAATCCTTTAAGCCAAAGCGGCCATTTCTTGGACAATTATATATGAAAAGACAGTCCCCTAGGGCTCCAACCATATCCTCAGAAGGTGTTTAGACCCCCCAAACCCACCCCAACCATCTTCTCAGGAGGTGGTTGGAGCCCTAGGGGTCTTTGCTCTTGTTCACAGCTACCACGATTTTCTCTACCGATGTGCGATGGTGACCCGAGCTTCGGAGCTTCAGGTCGTTCTGAAGGATTGGGCAACGGCCTTTGAGCGGAAGTTGTGGAGGTTGAGGCTTACTTACCCTCCAATCGCTAGTAGGTGGAGGCCATGGCTAGTAGCTAGAAGCTACTAGGTTGGAGGCCATCGCTATTAGGTTGGAGGCTTACTCACCCCTCCGATCATGGAAGTGGACAGCCACCAAGACGCGTTTCCTCTACCAAGAGGGGGCGGTCCACTTAGACCAAAACAGTCCCCTTTGGTTCATAACGGATATGCTACTATGCACAACCCCGTAACAGGTTAAACCTTTAAACAAATGATAAAATCATGGTTGAGACCAGAAAAGACGTTCCGTCGCACCATTTTGGAGCTCTTAAGTTTGTCTCCATGGACACTTTTTCACTGACAGTGGTTTCAGAGTAGATGGCACAAGCCCAATGATGTCCTTTCTATGGAGGTCCATATAGTGTATAAGCCACAGACATTGGGGATTGTGCCATCGAACCTCTGAAACGGCTGGCAGATCCACATGACGTGATAGAAGATTGGCCACGAGGGCGAAGTTCAGCATGTTGCATGTTGCGAAGATACTGCCCTGCGAGCCGTCTCTCCCAGTTGCTGCTTAGATGGTTTGGTCCATCTCCCATAAAAGCACGTCTGGAAGACACTCCACGCTTTTCGGTAGAGTTCATGTGCAATAGTCGGAAAACATCTATAGAAGAAAACATGAGTTGCGCTTTTGCAGGCCAAACACATCTTCATCAATACGAAGGTGGGTGACCTCAACGGAGTCTGTTTGCACTGAACATCGACGATGATCACCGTGCCGCAAAAATGAGTAAAGGAGAGGAGACAAATTTTGGAGCAGCAGGTTAGGGGCACACGGTTTGGAAAGGTCCAAGGATTCTTAGGGCAAGAGCTAGCTGTCGCAACGGAGCAGGTTGCTCGTTCCGGCCGGTTCGGGGGTGACTCGTTGCGAGGGGGCGTGGACCGACTTCGGGTGAGTGGTTTCGACCCCTTGGCCGACTGAGCCCTCAACTGTTTTCCGGTTAGCCTAGAAAGTGGGGTGTCCCCAATCCCCGAACAGGTTTTGCAGGTCATCCACTGACTCAGTCCCCAGCCCGTTTCGAGTCCTTTTTCTGTGCGTTTCTCGATCGATCTGGAGTTTGGATGAAGCGCCATTGGGCTCCAGCAGTGCAATGATGTGCGAGGAGTCTGGTGACCTGGTGTTGTGAATCGGATGATATCGCCTGATTCTTCCAAGTGACCGAACTTGCTTCCCTGGTTTGAGGTCACGAACAGGCCGGTAATGTCACTTAGAGACTCCAAAGAGGCCACTTGGAAGAAGCTGGTGCATGATGTGTATCTTGTGAATCCATGTGAAGTTTAATATATACCATGCAGCACCAGTCAGACTTCACAGGTCTCCGAAATGGAGGGTTGGGAAGGGCTCCTGTCAGGCTTCAATTGGTGACCTGTTGCACGAGTCTCGGTGCGACAGTGCTCCAAGGTGAGTTGGTCGACTTAAGCATGGCATCGGACGAGTCGGAGACGGAGAACACCACTGAGCTGTCGGGGGAGACGGAGCTCTCGTTCCATCCGAGTGGCGTGGCTTTGTTTAGGGCGTGTTCCTTGGTTTTCTCTACGGGTTGAGGGCTGCTGGCATGAGGAATATGTTGTATGTTTACCGGTTCCGAACAAGCAAATTCAAGGAAGTCTTTGGAAGCTTAAGCTCGACCCGTCACTGTACAGATGCTTGACATGTCTTGGCGCCCTGTTCATCATCGTGCTGAGTAGTTTGGGAGCCATCCTCCTTGGCGCCAGGGGTGATGTGGGTGAAATATCATATTATTTCAGATATTATGCAGACATGGAATTTTGCATCCTGATGGCTTGTACAGCCGTAGCGGCTTGTGGAGCTATGTGGGTATGGTGCCATGCCTCAACGCCACACCTCCTTCAGGCTTCAGGCTTTCTGGTTCTCAACTGGATCGAGGGGTTAGCCTTCATCAGCTGGATCCTTGCTCTTTATAATCATGTAAACACCACGACAAGCATCCTTGTGGCTTGTCTCAGACTTTTCTTGCTGATCTGTGAAATCGTGAGTCTTCAGATCTTGATCCAGAACCGTCTCCAAAGCATTTGGCCGGCACTCAACCAACCTCGATGTGGAGTGTGGCTGAACAGGATTGTTTGGGCAGAACTTGCTTTGCTCACACTGGGCACTCTCAGCTTGATTCCTGCTCTACGCGCGATGCAACGTGGCGAATCGGGCATTCTCATGTACATTGCCCTTGCCGCATTCGTGCTTTTCATCCCATGTTGCTTTGTCATTTGGATGCTTATTGTTTTTGCCACCTTGTGCCGTGTTTTGACCATCTTTCATGCTGCGCAGCAGATGGCGCAGGGTCTTTCTCTGGAGTCCGGCAAGGCGTTGCGCCGCAGCCGCAGAGCGGCATTGCTGCAAGGTCTTGGCTTGGTGATTAGCTTAGCCAGCACCTGCACTTTGGTGACTGTTTCCATTGTGCCACCACACAAACAGACCACCGCACGAAGGAGCCGACCGAGCGTGCGCGTGCCGCAACGAGCTTGGTTCTTCCGACACTCGACCAACGCAAACATCTCACATATGGGACTGGCGCAAAGTGTGAACTTGGTCACCAACACACTTGGTGTGATTCTGCTGTCGGGGGCCCATCGCTTCTGGGGGCGTGTTGTTGAAAACAACGCGTCCACAGGCGGCTGTTCCTGCTTCACCTCGGTGAAGCGGGTGAGACGGGTGAGGCCGACCAGAGAGATCGTCGGAAGCGAATGGGAAGCAAAGACTCAGGAACTGGCTGGTCGCGGTATATCTGTGCAGGAACTGCTGTTATTTTATCGCAGATTGGGGAAGGACATCATGTTGTCTTATAGACCAAATGCGCACACTACCAATGATGTTGTGCGACAGGCGATTATCCCAATGACTGCAGCAAACGGGAGCTCCTATGCACAGCTAGTCAATAGAGGTGAACCTAAGATGCCCCAAAAGATGGTGACCCACAACTGGTCCAACCTTTTCCGAGACTTGCTGGCGAGTGTCATTGCTGATGCCCTTGAAGAGCACACCTTTGAACTCGTTTCTGCTTTGCTGGCCGATGAGGTGGGCATCAATGCTTTGGAGCAAATGATCCAGGTGCAAGGAAACTTGGAGGGCGTCTATTGGATTTGTGCCTTTGCAGTGAACCAACACTCCGGGATATGTGGAGCCAACCCACGTGCAGATGTTGATCCTGTCACAATGCTACCACATCCAGTGTGTTCATGTGGGACTTCTAAATTCTTCAACAGCACGCCACCTTTGAACCAGCATGGGGAGAGCATTCATTGTGAAATGAACAAGTTCGACGACATGATGTCCTTTCTAGCGTGCAGAGATGCCTCTTTTGCAGAGGTGGTTGCTGTCGATGCATCATTCGAACTCTTCAGCCGAGCCTGGTGTATGGCTGAGCTGTTCGAAGCTCATCGACTGGGTATGACTCAGATCCTGCTGGTGAGGAATAAAGACACGCTGCTCAGAAGACAGCACACGCTAGAAGGCCTTAGAGTGCAAGATATGAAAGCAAGCCGCCCGCAAGATGTCGATGCCATTCTGGCGAAGATCCCGAACAAGGATGCTTTCAACCAGAGACTTCGGTCTTTGATCTGTGACAGGAATGTTGGCCTTGTTACTGCTTGGAAGCATGCTGATTCTTTGCAGCGAATAGAGCAGCTATCTCATGTATTGAAGTGGGCTCGTTTGTCAACCAGTGTAGAAGATGGACTGCAAGTTTGGCAGAATTGGGTCTAGGCACAGACCATTCTTGTTTTACGTCGGTGGGTGTCAGCAGCATCAACACCAATGTGTGGCTAAAGCAGTGAGCGAAGGCAGAAAAGAACTAATGACGAGAGAGTATTAAATAGTATTCAGACCCCCACTCACAAATCCTGTCCGTTTGCCAGAAGGACGCCATATCCACCATAAAGCGATAAGACAACAAAACGATGGCCCCATAGACAACCCTTCCTATTTTACTTCCTCTCAGGCTTGTCTCTCGCACAAAGACATCGAGGAGTGTTGCGTTGCAGTATCATTGTTTTGTGCAAAGAAATTGATCTGTGTACTAGTTTGCACTACTAGGCACGAAAACGATAACACAACAAACACGATACTGCATCGAGCCTATAACACCTTCCCGTATACACAATGGCCCACATGTATACTAGCTGTCTAGGTCTGGAACGCGCCGTGGCAGCATGTTTATCAGTTCCACACAGGACAACTGCACCTAGCCACTACGAATGTTGCAGCTAGTCAAAGCACCGTACACTCATACCCTACACTGCCCTACACAGACACTCCATGTATGGTATATATGCCTACATTGACCCCCTTTCAACCAACCCTGGCCTGATCGGCAGTCCCATGGGTCGTGTTTGGGTATGGTGAACAGTGTTCTTCTTTGTCTGTTCGACTCGTTCGGGCATCGCCAGGTCCACGAAGAAGGGGTCATCGGATCGCCAAGGGGGTTCGGACCAGTCGGTGTCGGTGGATTTGAGTGTGTCTTCCAACAGAGGTTGAATGACCCTATAGACTATCCCATAGGTACCCCAGTAGGGTCCTATCAGGTCACTTAACCTCTCTTGGTTCCTGACACCTTTGAGGTCGACTGCTCTGGAAGAAGGGAGCAGAACCCTAGGGCTCCTGGCCGCCCCCTCCGTTTCGGTTCGATGGGACAGGGGTGGGTGCCAGGGAGGTGAGTCCCCACCGAACCTGAGGAGATGGGCCAGGAGCCCTAGGGGAAATAGAAATCAACCCAAGACCCATTGGGGCCAGGGTTTTGTTTTCTCTTCAAGTACACCCAAGCCCATGGGGCACACACCGCTGACGCGAAAGCGCCACAGGTGGGTCCACCCACGTGTGCGCGGGGCGGCGGTGCCAACGCATGTGACATCGAATCGGTGAGCAGCGAATCGAAAAAGGGGCTGGTGCATCTCTCACATCAAGCAGAGTGGCTAGTTGACATGCTCTGGTATCATGTGAACTGATGTTATTGTTTAGGGGCTTCTTGTGATTTTGAAGCATGCAATGTGTGTATCGTTTGTAATTTAATGATTACCTGCAGTATGTCTTTTGCTTGTTCCACTGGGTATCCTTTGGGCGTGACTCGTGATGTTCAGATGCTCAGATGAGGGCTACGCTGGGCCGGGTTGACTCGGTCGACTCGTCCGACCAGTCCTGGTGCCCAACCGGGTCGTTGTGGGTAAACAACTAATGCAACAGTTCCCAGACGCTCCAAACAGCTCTTGGTACCTCAACACCCTAGGGATTTGAGACCCCAGACCCCTCCATATGAGGGTCCGACCCCTCCATATGAGGGCCCACGAGCGTCTGGGTTAATCAACAACCAGGGGTCACAGAGCTCGAGGTGGTGTTTAGTCCCAGCCAGGGGCTGTGGAGTAGCTGGGCACCCCGACTTCCTCCAAGTTCAGCACCCCGTCTTGTGACTCCTGGAATACGTATATACGTTAGTGTGCAACACTGGTGCTGATGCATGTGTTTGTTTCATTTGCTTGCATTGATTTGTCGGTTACCAGGTTGATGAAGCTACCCAACCAATTGTTCCATGTGCGTCATCCCTTTGTTCTCATCGAAGCTGTGTCGTCGCGTCGCTGTGTCACTGAAGTCGTGGCTCCAAGGCAGATGTTTCAGATGTTTCATGCCATGCTTAATTGGGGTTTAACACACCTGCATCTTCGGTGGTCCAGCTATGCTAAGCATTCTGAATTGTGTTGTGAATTGCCCATACACATCATCCGCATTCCAATCCATGCCAAAGCCATTTCGCAGGCACATCTCACACTCACGATGTTGCTTTGATTGTCACAGCACGGTGACGCACCCGCTCTCCGCGTTCTTCGAAGCTCTCCGCGCACCACGTTGTCGGGTGCGAAGTGATGGTGAAAGTGACCCTCGAGGAGCTGCTTGGCGCAGCACGCGACTGGCCGTTCCGAAGCACGCGCGGACAGAAGGGCGCACGCGGTTTCAAGACTGGGGGGCCGGCTAAGCGTGTGGGGTTCATCGATTTCATTGGGATGATTGGAAGCTCCGGAGCCGGGAAGATCAACACAGGTCGAAGCGATTCTAGGTCAACGATATACTGTACATTCAGTACTAAAATGTTGGTTGCTTCACTCCTTTCTGTTCCTTTTGTTCTCATTTCAGATTGTCCAAGTTTAAGCCAAGTTGACTTTGGGCCCGCAGGACAGGCTGTAGAGTAGATCTACAATGAACTATAAGGCTATACCCCCCCTTGGCACCTTGGTATTACTCTTAGACCCGAACAGCCTCTTTGGTTCATAAGGAGCTTTTACTACTAAACCCCTTCATCATGTGGCTGCAGAAGTCAAAAGGACAGTGAACGAGTTCAGTTGATGAACATGAACAAACGGCTCATGGTGATTCGGACTAGAGAAGACGTTGGTTTTGGACCCTTCAAGTTGTTGTCTCAGTCAATTTCAGATCACCAACTCTTTTCAACAGAACACTGTGCTGATTTGAGTCTCGAGGTTCATTTGTGGACCTTGGCTAGAAGAGCATGGTGTATTTCGTGCCCAACTGCTTCAGCAGCTCTTGGTGGTAAACGACGTGATAGAAGATTGGCCAAGAGTGCTTTCGGCATGTTGCATCTCAGCAACCAAAAGGAGGTCAGACGGTCTCTCACCCGGGGACATCGGAAGGTATCGACGACCCTCCCTCTATAGAAGCGTTTGAAGTCCGCAACCCGAACAAATCGCAAGGCAACACGCACGCTTTCGGAGCTTCAAACCGTTTTGGGCCCGGATTCTTAGGTATATACCGGGACTCTCCATGTATGGAACAACATGCCCTGCCGAGTTGGATCCCTCAAGCCACCCCTGGCCGTCAGGACTGGCAGTCAGGACTGGCAGTCTGATCAGTACCGGTCAGAAGGGTTGAAGTCGGAAGCTGTGCTGTCGGACCTGTCTGACAACCTGGGCACCCTCTACCATATGAAGATCCACCAAAAGAATTGGAGGAACGGCCAGAACAGGGGGGGTTGAAAGCTGCAGAACCCTTCGTCTCTGGGAAGCTGCGGGAAGCAGTAGCACTGTACTAGTGAGTGGAGGCAGACGGCAACTGGTCTAGCAGGAGTCAGGTTTGACACAGTGGCGTGCAGCATGTAGCAGGTGGAGTTCATGGCGGTCTCTGGAAATTTGTGGAATGGTTCGAACACCATCCATAGCTCATGAGTTGAGGCCCCCCCCCAAGGCCCTGCCCAAGGCAATGCGATTTTGTCTCTTCTTTTTTGAGATGACTCGCTTCTAAGGTGGAGAATCTAGATGCCATGAGGCAATTCTGGAGGCCGTGAAGAAGGGCTGCACCGGAGCAGAGAAATGGGCGGAGGCACACACTCAGGAGCCCAGACATGTAATCTTTGACGAAAACTACGGAGTGTTTGGATGTGTGTGTGTGTGTGTTTGTGTGTGTTTGTGTGCGCACATGTGTGTGTGTGTGTGTTAACCCCTGTTCCAAAGGGACCCGCGTAGCTCACCTTCGAGCCTTCCTCTCCAGACCTCGGGTTCCTTCCTCTCCTGCAGTGTTGGAGTAGCTGAGTAGCCCGCCTGTCCACCTAGGTCTGTAACCCTGGGTCTGAACCCTGGGTCTGGCTGGGACGGGGACGAGGGGCACCACGCCTTGGGGGCCCCACTCGGGCGCCGGGCGCCTACGCGCCGTGCGCCGTGCGACGCAGGAGCCGTCCCTCTTGCTGAGCTTCCGCCTGCGCCTGGCCGTCCAGTCCCAGTCGCGGCCGCCGCCAGCGCTCCTGGCGGAGGCGGAGGCGGCACTGCTGCGGGGGGGAGATGCTGGCGCCGGAGGCCTTGAGTGACTGGGCTTCAGGGCAGAGAAGGCCCGACCAGCTCACCTGATGGTGGGCGGCGAGATCAGTGAGCATGATTGACAGGAGAGATTGCAAATGTTTGGGACTCTTGACTCTTGCAAGGCTTCAAGGGTGTTTTGTCCTTTGGGAGACCTGTGAGTCAGTGATAGATTTTTAAAGGGAGATTTGGAGCCATGATCCCCTTGATAAACCCCAATTAGATTGTTCAAAAGGGGTGAACTTGCCCACACTTCATGGGAAGGGTTCCCAAATCCAAGCACAATATTATTGGATATTGTCGGATTGTTGCAGCATGTTTGCCCATATCTCTTGAACATGGATGTTTGTGCGGCACACGTTGTTTGGGTTGGTGTTTCACCAACTCCCACCTGACCCCGTCCATGGTCCATGGATCGTCGTTGATCATTGGATCGCTGCCCTCGCTGTGCATCTGCTTCGCCCTCGCTCGCTCGCCCTCTCCAAGGCTCGTTGGACGCCAGGAGACGTGCGATCACGGTCGCCAGGGGGTCTTCGCTCGCTCCGGGGGTGCCGGGCGGCCGAACGGAGGTACTCATCACTTCGGAAGGGACGAGCCACACCACACCACACCGCCCCGCCCCGAGCGAACTGTGACTCCTGGGAGATTGAGGAATGTGATGATGTGTTCGAACATGGCTTTCTTGTTTGGACGAGATCTCTTCCGTTTTGGACGAGTTCTCCACATTCGTTCGATGCTCGAGGACCTGTCGCCCCGAGAGGCTGTTGATAGAACCGACCTGTTTTTCCGCCGTCGACCGGTGCGACCGGTGTGGTAACACATTTGAGTGGGTGAGAAGGGGGTATATATCCAGTTGTTCATGAAACAGGGAGCCGGGTCCCCTCAACCGCGCCGTGAGGAGTCTTTGGCCTCGATTGGTGGAGCAGGGTGCCCTTCTGCCCGCTGCGGCCTTGCTGAACTGCAGTGGAACTGAGTCCTTTGAAGAATCCGAGCAAGACGCTGAGCTGCAGAAACACGGAACTGTTACACTCTTCTTGTTTTGTCACCCTGGAACAGTGGAAGAGGAATGTTGTGGTATTGTTGTATGCCTTGTGTCTGATAAAGCAGCAAAAGCACTGCCTACTATATCAAGTAACTCTTTCCTGAACTCTTGCATCCTCAGTTGAACATCCATAAACCCCATCTTCCCGAATTCTGGCATTCGCACCTCGCAGGTCACCAGCCTCATTGCCTCCAATCTGCTGGGCCCCTCCGCCCACGCGCGCGCCGCCCTCGCGCTGTTGACCGCCCTGCGGCCGCTGTCGCCGCCGGAGCTGCTGGCGGCGCTGCTGCAGCGGCAGCCGCTGCACCTGCTGGAGAGCTTACCGTTGCCGGACGAGGAGCCCGTGGCGTCGTGAGAAGATTTGGTTTCGGAAGTCTTAATGTCTTGGAAGTTAGAGAGGTGTTCAGTGGATTCATGTTGATTCAACATATTGTCATGTATATGCTTTTTGCATACTTGCAGCATTTAGTTGGGGTGGTGTTCTTTTCTTTATGGATGAATCCCTCCCGGTTCCATTGAGCAAATTCAAGCATTGAACCTGTTGGATTTTGCATAGAAGGGCTCCGACCCTCCATATGCTTACAGCGTTTTGTAGTAGCAGGTGTCCGGACTCAGGTTCCAAACCCTTATCATTGGTTTGTGAACAGTTTCTTAGGGTGTGTACACTCACAAAAACATGGAACGGATTGACTCAGCCTCTGAGACGCTCTGACTCTGTAGTCAGCCTGCGAGACATTCTGCATTGAACTGTTGATTGCCCACACTTAGGACTTCAACCAAGCAAACGCTTGGGGCATACATGTCGATTGTTCTTTTGTTTGTGTGTGTTTCTTTTTTTTTAATGGAGTCGGATCAACAATAACATTTATATTTATATAAAGTTAAAGCACAAAGACGCGTTTTGCTGTAATTGTTATTTACTCACGTATGACATGCATTATGTTGCATGTTTATGTGTGTTTTAGACACCTCGGACACCTCGGATATGTTTATTTCACCACTTCACCATAATTACGGTAAACGTTCAAAAACAAAATGCCAACCTGGCCAAAAAAGAAAACAGATGCGGAACAATCCAACAACCCTCACCTGACAGGTGGGGAAAAGCACACAGCCTGTCCAATAAAACATCTCCGCCATCTCCGCGCTCTCGATCTCCACCTGCTGGGCGATCGCGAGGATCTGCAGTTTGCGGCGGCGCAGCTGGCGTTGCGCCACGGGGACCGCCGTGTGGCGGGCTCCGTGCTGCGGCGGCTCGAGAAGAGCAGGTGGATGCCGGAGGTCGTGCAGGCGGCGGTGTCTGGGCCGATCTGGGTGAAAGAAGGTTCAATGGCCGGGACCTTCTCAGAAGGTACTTGGAGGCCTATAGACTACTCTCCAGGACCTTCAGAAGGTGACCTCTTCATTGGTCAGTGACCTGATTTCTCAAGGCCTAAGCTGTTTGTGTTTTCAGCCACTGGGATCTCAAAAGGTCACTGGGAAGGTCCTGGTGTTGAACACTTGGTTTCATTCAACATGATTCAACAAAGCAAATCAACAGCTGGGGGATGTTCAACATGTGAGATGATGCATCTCCAGTAAATGAATTTCTTTGTTAGACCATCCCTTCCAAAGTATTTAACATGATTCACTCATCCCTAGACACTCCATGGGACTGGCATATCATGCCACCCTATCAACCCCGGAGCGCGCACCCCTGGCCTCATCGGCAGTCATATCCCAGTTCCAGGCAGGTCGTGTCAGGGATCAGGTCTTTTTCTTTTTTGGGGGGGCTGTGGCGCATGACAGCCAATTTCTGGTTCATCGCAGACAGTTCCAGAAATGCCACGTCCGACTCTTCCGACTGAGAGATTCCGGAATGGCCTGATGGTTTTTTGTGTCCTTACTGGGGGTCCCCAAATAACACTGTTTTAAGTTTAAGCAACATTCAATTCATCATACGTTGATTTACAGATGTGTTTTCTTTTCACCTCTTAAGCGTTTCCAGTAAATTGCATTGGATCCTTAACACGAATTCGGTCGACCCGACGGCCAACGCCGTCGGGTCGATAGGACTGCACCTGCGGCGCAGGGCCGGACCATCTCACGATGCGGACCGATGAGTAGCAAACTGGTGTTTGTCTTTCTTTGTGGTGCGCGAACGGGATGATGTGGGCCACCTTTGAGTAGTCAGTAGTCAAGGAACAATCCAGGATGACCAAAGATACCAAGCACCGCAAGCCGCAAGTCAAGACGTTTTGTTGCAGAGTCCTACCTCTCCAAAAATGCTTTGTTGCAGAGTCCACCTTTCTCAATGGATCCCTGGGAGGGTGATCTTCCCGCTGTGAATGTCAATCCTCCGCCTGCAGGCCGCCGCCCGCGAGGAGCCCTGGACACAGACCTGGTGGGCCCAGGAGGCGGCGAACGAGACCAACGGATCCCTGGAGCAGCTGGGTGTGCTGATGAACGCACGGCCCTGGACACGTGGGTGGCTGGGTTGTTGGGTGGGGTGCTTTGAAAGGACAGTTGGAGGGATGTGGGTTCCCCTGCGCAGGATTGGTTGACTGATGATCACTTCGGCCGGCAGTCCCGCCCTAGAGGGAAGGTGTTTACCTTGGGCCAAAGATAGAATGTTTCCTGCAAATATCCGGCGTGTCCTATGCCATTCTATGCCGACATGAGGCTTTAAGGGGCATGTGTTCAGTGTGATCCGGCTGCTGGTGCCCTCCTGCAAATTAACATAAACCCCCAAAACCACTGGGTTGTAGAGGAAAAGGTTCTTTAAGGGGTCAATATTCAGGGTCCATATGAGTCTGCAGGGGGTAGTCTGGACACATCATTCCAACCCCAGTTCCAACCCCATCCAGCCCCCAATATCTCACATGGCGCCCACCAATAGTTCTTTGCTATTCCCGGCCACTCCATATGTACATGATGGTAAATATATATATATATACAGAATGACATTAAAAAACAGAGAACCCAGTGGACCTTTGTTTTGATTGGACAATTCGGAATTTTGTGTGGTGGGTGGTCCAAAATGCAAGGTCACTCAGGTTCTAGGCTATAACATACACCTGTAGCACCAGATTCTGTTATTCAACAGGTGTGCATAGGAAAACATCGGGCATTCACACACATGCTGAAATACATCCGTTTTTGACAAGTTCTGACCTTCTAAGATGCATTCGTTGATGAATGATGACACTGGATGGTTCTCCGTGGGTGCCCGAGGTCCAATTTCATATACCCAGCTCGTAGACCGCAGAAAGAGAAGCAAGAACAACAGTTGAAACAATAGAACGTTTCTGCTCTGACTACATACACAATCAAACACTGTAAAAATAGCAGCAATACGTAATCTATTATTGTATATAATATATATATACCTAGTAAACCTAAAGTATGCAAAAAAATGTCGTTTCAGAAAAAAAAAAGTTTTTTGTTGAAAATGTATTTTTTGTATAACAATTACCTTTTTGGATTTTGGTTACCTTTTGTTACCTTTTGCAAACTTACTGCTGTTTGTTTGAGAAATCATGGGACCATTCTGTCTGAGATCTCCAGTCTGGAGTTGTGGGCAAATGAATAGGGCGCCAGTACTTACTTTCTGTGCACAGAGGATGTTGCAATCACCAGAGGGCAATTAGATGATACATGATGCCCCCTGTGCACAAATTGCAACTTCCTCGTTTTGCAAAGATTGCTTTGGAGATCCATATCGCCATCGAAACCATTTCAAAGTGGTCGAGCTCTATCTATTTAGTTCATAGTCATGGTTAGAGTGGCCAAAACTTCAAGACGTTGAAAAGCTTCTCTGCCTTTGCCCTCGAAGAACTTCGAAGCGAAGGCCCTGGAAATCGACCGGACAGAAGCCAATTTTACTAGAGCATGCTGTGTTTTAGATGTGTCAAATTATCCCAACAGCTTGTCATGGAATGCCTTGATTCCATCTTGCCTGGAAGATTCGGATGAGTTGCGGTGATCATTCAAAGCTGAATAATAGAGAAGCGCTTGGGGCAAGGGAAAACAGAACCTAGCTCGATCTGCAATCGCTGAGATTTCCGGTTTTTTTTCAGTGGACATTTAAACTTCCATGCAGAAGTGGCCGAAAAACAATTACGGAACTTACCGTCCAAATGACGGAAATCACCGGAAAAATTGCGGAAATTGCCGGGCACGGTTTGGATGTTTTGAATGTAGAAATTTTTGCTGTTTCAGGGGCCTCTGGTACATTGGTACATGCAGGTTTCCTTTGATGTGGCCACGCCTGCTCCTATCAACTCCTTGGTTTCGAGCTGCGCCACTCTGTGTGAGGTGAGGGCTTTGAAGGCATGCCCTGCCCGACATGATGTTGTGCAGCCCCCTGATGGGGAAGACACCCTTCTCCAGCAGTTGCAGGAGCAAAGCACAGCTAACTCGCTGTAGTAGTTGTTTCGATTCCTTAAGAGGGGCTCGCACTGCGTTACAGGTTGTGTATGGCTTCGGCCCAAACGCCAAATTTTTCTCACACCACTTTTGAGACGAGGGAAATTGTCAAACTGTCCAAATTTTGCGTGTCAGTTAAATGGCATTGTGCAGCCAACAAAGTTTTTATTATTGGGAGAATCAGCCGTGTCAGTAGACAGGTTGCAAGCAAGCAGGTGATCCTAAGGGCCATCGAAAGGTACGGTGTATCCTTGCACTTTCGCCGGAACCGACTCAAACAGCCTAAGTTTAGGTGAACAACTACCTTTTGGTGTAAGAAGAGGCTGGATTTGGGATTGGAAGCAGCTGAAAAAAATGAATATTGCATACCCTCCACTGGCTTGATCGCAGCAACTACAATTTTACAAAACAATGACGTTTCTTGGCTGAGATGACCTTCTTTGCCGGAAAAAAACACGATTACATTTTTTTTGCATACTTGGGTTTTCTAGGTACGATTATATATAATATAGTCATAGTTACTATATCTGTATTTGGTGACCTTTACCTGGTGTCTCTCCACCGTCCTCTCGGCACGAATTCCCTCCAGGAGCTCCCACCACACCCTGGCGGACCTCCTGCGCGGCTGGCTCGCGGCGAGCTCTGCGCAGGCGCGATATGGCGGCGACGCCGACGCTGCGGCGCGCGCGGCCAACGCTGCGCTGCGGCAGCTGCGCTTGGAGCTGCCAGAGCTGCCGGAGTTGGTGAGGCTGCTGGGTGTGGTGTGTGGAGATGGTTGGAGGGTTGGAATAGAGAGTAGGGTGGAGTCTGGGGTCTGGGTGTGGTGGAGTCTTGGGTCTGGGGTAGAAAGAGAGTGGGGTTTTGATGTGATGGGAGATCTGGAAGTGGGTTCTGTTGAATCTGAGGGTTTTCAGAAACATGCATGGGAGATACACGGCTACGCTTGCAAGACTTGTGAAAGGAACTATCAAGCTGCAAACATTGCCTTGGACACTCTTCTGTCCAACATCCTTATTTGCAAAGCATTGGAAAACCCTGACATGATGGCCTGAATCATGCTCCAAGGTCAGTGGCAGAGTCGTTTGCAGCTTTGCAGAAGGAGGCCTGGCCTGTCCTTCACGATGTGCCACATACCAAGTTCTGATATACAACAGATTTTTGAATGATGTCATGATTCTATGTTGATAGTATATAGACATGTATAATTAGTCAGTTTTTTTTAAATAGTAATGATTGAATAGCTTCAATGGTTGCAGCATTGGTTGGCATTGGCCCGCTACTTCACTTTGGGACATAGATCGAACTATATTGAACATCGCATCTATACAGAGAAGTGGTTTCTTCCACATGAATCAGAGGATAGAAAAGGATCAAAGAGGTCTTCCAGTCTCCTCATCTTAGCCACACGCTGAGACTGATGGACACGCACGACAACTAGTTCTGATGTTGGTGTTGATCCCAGATACTCCATGTCTGCCACCGCCCAAAAATAGGCGGCGGAGCAGTGTCCACTGCTGTTGGAGATGGCGGCCTGTGGCCTTGAGGCGGAACGTGAGCTGTGGGGTGAGCTGTGGAGTCAGCCTAGACCTGGTGGGAGTCAGCCTGTGAACTTCTAACACTAAAGGAATGGGATCCTACCCAGGCTACCCAGCTTTCCGAGCTGTGGCTCTATGGGGAGCACCTTCCCAAGAAAGTCGTGCGTTGTCTTGGGGCAATCGTGCTTGGGTGCTGCTGGATTTCAGCATCTTGTCTTCATCCGTTTTGAGCCTACTTTCAACCCCAAAAGCACCATTTGCCTTCATTTGCCCTGCGTCCCGCAGTTCTCCTGCACGAGCCCCGTTGGAATCCGACGTGGACGGTTACGGCTACGCGAGTGACTGGACCCTCGCCAACCCTGTCAGGTGCCGGGCCTTGAGGAGCTGCTGAAGCGCTGTCGTCGCACAGAGCTCAAAGAGCTGGTCACAGCCGATGGCCTCTCCACGCATCAACGGCAACGTCGGGCAGCAGGCGGGCTGGTTTGCGGAGCGCTCGGTGGGAGAAGGTGACCGTGACCTGAACTAGGGGATCCCATCACCTGGGGTTGGGGTATCCAAGTGGGATAGTCTGTACCTGGGCCTGCTGGCCAGGGGTGTGTCTAATATCTTAGAGGTGATTCGGGTGTCCATGAACCACCCCTGACATGGGGGCCCTGGTAGGGTTCTTCAACCGCTGTTGCATGGTATTGGGGGACCCGTCGGATTGTCGGTGGGTCCGACTGACGGAAGATCGACGACAAGGCGTCGACTCATCGACGAAGTCGAGTCGTTTTTGTTTGGCCTGTCGACACTTCTTCTGGTGAGACACCCCTTGGACACAGGGGATTCTGAAAGATCATACTCCTGAACCTCCTGGGGTCACTTTCGAAAGGTATTAATTTGTTCCAGGACGGCCTTAGACCTTCCAAATCGATCGCCCACCGGTGCGAAACGAAACGTGGCTCCAAAACGTGGCTCCCCCCCAGACCCAAGCCAACGGCGCCCCGCTGGCGGGTCCAGCTTCCACCGGAAGGCCGACCCAAATCCTCTGAGAAGGGGGGGTTCAGACCCAAGTACCGACCCGAACCCATCGGGTTTTGAAGCACCAAGAGGGCCGGAGAAAGGCTCGGAAGGCCGGAGAGCGGCTGACTCACCCAGCCTTCGACCCCACCTGCAAAAGGCCCTGCTAAACAGAGCGTCAGGTCTGGGGCGCGACGCTGCCACGGCGCTGTGGGCGGTGAAGCACTTGGGAGCTGAGGTGGAGTTACAGGATGGAGGCAGATCTGGATGGCTGGGAAGGTGGGGTCTTCCATAGACCTATAGGAAGTGACCCACCAAGGGAGTCTTTGTTTGTGACCTGATTAGGGACTATAAGTGACCCCAAACTCCGAGGACCTGGATCTTTACATCACGACGATGGAGTGACCTGTGTCTTTGTTCACTCGATCTTATAAAAGAGGTTTCTTTGGGTCCGTCCCTCCATGGTTGGTCAGGTTTTCCAGGTTCTTGAGTCGCTTTACATCAGCACCGGTCGGGGGAATACGTTCTTCCCAGTGTTCTTCCCTTTGGGGGTCCGTACGTTCAGTCACTGCCTGGATCTGCCTGTGGCCTTGTGCCCTTGTGGCAGCATGTTTGTGTTGTATTTGGAACAGTCCTTGGAACAGTTCCCCTGAATCCAGTCCAGTCCACTGCCCTCTCCTTTGCCAGATTCCGCAGGCTTCGAGCTCGTGTTCTCCGGCCAGAGGCCATGCAGCAAACAGGAAAGATCTGGTGTACAGTGGGTATCAGTACTGGGCCTGAAGACGACTTCTTCTGCAGTATTGTTCATCCTTTTGAAGTATATAACTAATTTTTGTGATATCTGCATCTTCATTGGGCAAAAAAGATTGTGCACTTGATTTTGGAGGAGATTTCCGTGTACGCTACAGAAATCTGTGCACTTGAACACAAAATTGTGCATTTCTGTGAGCATGGTCCCGTCTTGAAACACACAAGAAGGCCCTGCTTGTCACTTGCGCCGGAGCCTGCGCTTCCAGCTCAACTTCCGAATCTCCCATTTCATTTTGATACGGATCCGGTCTAGCACTCTGTGGCTTGCAGTTCTTGAACTCACTCTCTGACATATCCTGCTAACATGTCCCACCACAGATGCATAAGCTTCATAACTGTAGGGTAGTGGACAGGGAAAGATGAAAGATGTGTGTTGGGTTGGGAACGACGTGTATAGGACCGGAAAAGACGTGTATTGGACAGGTAAAGACGTGTATTTGACGGGAATTTCCGGGTAGAACAAATTTGTCACGCGGGACTTTTCTTCAACAAAATGGAGCCCTGCCGGTTTGACAAGCTCCAAATCATTCCAAATCTATTGAGGGAGCAGCGGACGCCATTCCTTTGGGATGGGCACACCCTTCGACCCACAAAGGTATCTCAATACTTCTGACAAAGCTGCATGTGCTCATTTGTCACCGAATTACAGGCTTCGGAAGTGGAAAAATGCTACCCAATACAGCCCGAAGGGCTACAATCAGAAAATGTGCATTTCAAATGACTTTTGTGTTTTTTCCTGAAAGACGTGTAGTGCACAGGAATTTCTGAATGCACAATTATTTTTGATAATTTGAGGTTGCAGGTATGGGTGAAGCAGTTACGACCACAACACATCCAAGCCCGACCAATTTAAATCTATCAATCTTGACTGAATAGACCGAATAGACCTCTTTAGTTAAACGAAAATCGTTTGGAATTTTGAACATCCACTGACAGATCTCAGATGTTCCCACAGCATCAAACCAAAATCCCTTTGGGTCTAAGTCTTGCCGCACTGCGCAGCCCGGAGGTGTGGCTACATCTCTTGGAATGATGCCAGAAAGGCTTGCCTGGAAGACCTTTCTGTCGCAGCTTCATATCCCACCCAGGAGAAGAACGGAACTGCACACTGGTTTCCCAGTCAGGAGGGTCCGTTCCGAGGTCTTTCGGGGGATCCTGGAAAGCAAGGCCAATGGGTAGCTCATCGGCCTCCAATAAAGTCATACAAAAGGCGGTTCCGAGATCTTCCAAGGCGATTCCTAGATCTTCCAACTGTGCCAAATATGTTAACCTTTTCATAAGTTTTCATCTATGAAACCAGCCAAGGTCGGCAAGCAATATCATGCATTAATACAGTAATGGAAAATCCAGGTTGCTCTTTGCCATGGCCCCTTGTTCTTTGAGCGGTGTGAAGCTATAATAAAGCTGGCCCCTTCAAAAAGCTTCAATCTATGGCCCTCAAATGTCCTTGACCCTGGGTACAACATCATTTTGATGGTGTCAGGATCGCCCACCTGACTTCAACTAAGAATCCCCCCGATGGATCATCCGGATGAAAGAATACTCATTGGAACGCTCGATAACCGCAGGGCGCCTTCGCTCCCAACTGGTCGGATCTCGAGTCTCAACCCGTCGATCTCCTTGGTCTCGGCGTCCCGGAGCAAATCGAAGTGTTTCAAGGCCGTCCCAAAAAGATTGCGTTTGGGTTCGGGCATGGATGTGAGTCCGTTGTTTGTGGCATCCGAAGAAACCCTGTTTGAAATGACGCGACTGGGGGGGTGGGGCGAAGAACAAGTGAAGTACGAAGGAATTAGTGACTAGTCGAGCAATCGGGGGTAGGCAGGCGGAAAAAGCCCAGACACAACTAATGATACCAGCCAGCCAGGACCCTCCTCTCTGAAGTATGTGCCTAGATTATCCTAGATTCATTCCCCTTATCCAACCACTCCCAATGTACCCCGTCCCATTTTGTTGTCTTTTTTCCACTGTCCAGGTCGTGTTTTCAGGTGTCTATAGTGTCTAAAGCGACCGATTTCGATCGCCAGGACCCGGAGTATGCCACCTTTCGACCCACCTTGCTGACCCTGGGCCCATTGGCCCGAACGCTCAGGGCCGAACCCGCGTTCGCTTTGGACTTTGCTTCGCTTGGTGGAGACGCACAAGGAACGCGGTCCGAGGACTGGACTTCGGCGCAGCGCAGCGAGGGTGAAGTCTTTCACTCGCTGGAAATCATCATCCCGGGATTCAGTCGTACCGAACCTCAGGTTCGGTACGACAACGGACCCTCCAAATACCTACGTATAGTCAGTGTCGACACACATCACCATACCTGAGAAGGTACGACTGGATCCTTAGGGCATGGTGATGTGGAGTGAGTGAAAACCACTAGTTTGGTCTTCGGAACACTCATGGTCCTCTCCGAGTCGAAAGTGGGCGAACTGCGTTCTTCAGGGCTGCCAGGCCCATGATTGTTTCAGAGAGTTCTCACCTGCAGGTGAATCATCTCGAGCCCCGTCCGGTTCGTGTAGGGGGTTGTGGTCCTGCCCGCCAGGCCATCCATGGGGCTGTAAGACGTTTTATGTCGATTCATTTACCCAGGAACATGACTCATCCACCTGGTTCTTCAGTTCGTGACCTGTTGAAACCCCCTGGTTTGAGGTCACTTATACAACATAGGCCTGGTTTTTTGGTGGGTTCACTGGCGTTCGGACTCCAGGTCATTTGGACACGGACTGAAGAAGCTGGTAATCCCAGTGACCACTATATGAGGAACCATGGCCCCTTGTTCGGTCTATCGTTTGGTCGTCACCACTGGTGACCAGCTGAGGTTTCAGAGTTGCCTGGATCCATTGGGTATAGTATAGTATCATGGCTGTCCTTGACCCATTCAGGGTTTAGAGTTTATAGGTTTTTTTTTTCAGGCTCAGAGCTTGATTCTGTCAATTGTTGACCATTTTCTCCTGAGACATTGAATTAAATTGGCTCTCCTTGCTCGGTGCAGCTCTCCAGGAAAGGGAACACCGGGTAAGAGTCCATGAACGGTGAAGTGGTAAAAGGAGTGCACTTCACATTTGAATTCTGTATTGTTAATTAAATCACCCAAGTACGGACACCGGCTTGCCACGCCACCGGAAAATGCCACCTTGCCAGAGGGCAGGATTTGTCAGGGATGAGTGGCTCCAGTGGTTGACAATGAGGAGCACAACTCTGTAGCCAATAGGTGGGCAGCATGAGAAGAAACAGGATTTGTTTGATTTGTTGGCGATTTTCTTGGGCTCTTGACTCTTTACAATCCGTTTTCTCTGGCCCTGTCATCCTTAATGATCAAATCATATTCCAAGTACAATCAGATGCAGCCTATGCAGGGGACTCTGCAGGTGAGCATCGGACACGCCACACCCCTGTGCTGCGCTGGCAGAACACCCTGCACGATCCGCACCCCACGGTCTCCCGAGAACACCGCGGCACCCGAACGCCGTGAGTCGACGACGGAATCCGGTCGACCGTGAACTCGAACGACCGCGGTTTCACCGGCTTCAGCGGCCCAAATTGACCTCGAGCGGCCAGCGAATGTTGGTAGAGGCGCCCCAGATGGCACAGGCGGGGTACGGAGGGGCCAACATGGCCGGAGATCACCCAAGCCCTAGAAGTGCAGTTCAATCTGGCACCACAGTAGAGGACTTTCCGGAAATGGGGTCACGGCATGATCAAGACCATGTTGAGTCTTGGAGTCTCACAGGGTCCCAGTGCTCAAGCTAGGCACAACATGGGAGACCTTGGGTGGTGGGGGTCGGGTTCAGTCTCTAGCTTGCGAGGATGTAGCCGCAGTGCAAGGTAAACTCCGAATTGCAGTGAGGAAAACCACATATTGCAGTTTACACACATATGTCCAATATTTTCCGATGCCATCCGATGCCTTACAGTTTCTTTCTTGACACAGACACATGATTCATCTAGCACTCAATGTGAGGTCGATAGACCTTTGGATCGGATTTTTTGATCGGTTTTTGTTTGGGGGTTATGGATGTCACAAGAACAGCTCGAAAACGGTTGGCCTTGATTTTCCAAAAGAAACGGCGACAAGGGAGTCAGGAATGCAAGATACGTCAAGATACTCAGTACTAAAGAACGGGTCCCGGTTGCATTTTCCATTTGGTTACAATCACCTTCTGGGATTTCTGGGGAACATCTGTTTGTTTTCCAGGCTCCATCCTCAAATATGTGCCGTCACGGTCACTCCACGATCTTTGCGCGTCACGCTTACAATGCGCCGCAAAGCGGGCGCGCTCCGACGCAGGCCGGAAGAAGCGTGAGATTTCAGGAGGAGTCGGAGGAGATTCATGCCGCCCGGCGTTGCCCAGTGAGTTTTGAACACCTTCCCAAGCGGTGCACCCCGCAGCTGATGGGCGACCGGAACGCGGGTCCCTGAGTCCTCCACTCCCTGCGTTTTGTTTAAGGTGATGTTTCATTTTCATTCATTTTCTCTATACCCAGACACTCCATGGGACTGCCATGATCTCATGACCCCATGATTAATCACAGAGTCAGTAAAATTTTCACCGTAGCATTGGGGCTTAAGAAAGCGGGGTGAATGGGAGAGGGGGGCACTCCCCCTCTCCCAGTGTGCGACAGGTGCCGCCACTTTGTCGTAAGAGACAAAGGGGTGGCCAGCTGTGGTCCCTGCCGCAAGGCATACCAGCTCCAGGTATCACTGAGGAACGTGGTACCTCCCGGGAAGGACGAATCGGCCGTCGTCTTTCTCGAAGGCTGCTTCACTCTGCTCCAGGACTGGCTCACCGAGATCCGAGGACTGAGTGATCGAGAAAAGGCAGCCAAGGACAAAGCCCAGCGTGAGGACAAGCCCCAAGACAAGCCCGAGAGAAGAGAGGAAGAATCGAAGGAGACCAAGAGCCCGCAAACAGCCAGGACCAACAAGCCCGACAGAGACCAACCGCCCCTTAACCCAAGTCGCCCATCCGGATCCAGCAAGGGCCCCAGCAGACTACCCTTGCCACCGCCTCCCCCATACCATCGGCACACCAGCGGAGCACCAGCCGAGGTTACAGCTCCCAGACCGTCCGAGTTCCCAGACCAAGCCATAGTGGCCCTGAACCCGGGGTTGAACGGTCCGAGGCAAAGCTCACAGCACCGTCCAAAGACAAGCGTGCTCCACCAGTAGAAGAAGAGGAGGTTGAGGTGGAGCCAGAAGAACCCAGCAGTGCAAAGAAGGAAAAACCCAAGAGGAGAAGGCGAAGGGAGAGATCAAGCAGTTCTCCCAGTTCGAGAGGGCGAGACAAGAAGAGGACGCGGCGAGAGCGGAAAGAGAAGAAGGAGAGGGATCGGCGAAGGAGGAGGTCCCCGTCAGGCAGCAGCTCCGTGACTGGGCCTCGAGTGCGAGAGGCAAAAAGAAGCGAGGCTCCAAAGCCGAAGTCACCGGCCAGGCCCCGCAGCCCGCACACACCACCTGGGCCTCCGCCAGCTCCTCCACCGGTGCGCCAACCCCCTGTGCGAGCACCACCAGTGAGGCCGCCGAGGAGGCCACCAGCCCCGCGAGGCCCAGGCTGGATCGGAAGAGTGCCCTATAGCAGCCACCCGCGTTGGTGGGTAGGGAAAAACAAAGGAGTGATTAGAAGAGCTAAGCAGGAGCTCTTCAACCGACGAAGGTGATGCCACCTCGAGCCAGACCAGCTACCAGAGCCCCAGCGCTGCGAAGGAGACCACCCAAGAAGGTGGAAGCAGAGGAGAAGGTGACCCGGCTCCATTCCTTCAGAGAGCTCGCCGCTGTGCAGTTGAGGACGCTTGGGCTCATAGAGCTAGCTCAGGCATCCTACTATGAGGGGCATATAAAGCTGGCAGGCTATGTGGAGGGCCTTGGCAAAGATGAGGAGTTTTTGAGCTTCCGTGCAACAGGTACGCAAAGCGACCACATGATGGAGCTCCTGTCCGACCCTCAGAAGCGTACCTTTCAGCTCCACGTGTGTGGGCCTGACTGCGGGCAGAGAGAGACGGGCCCGGACATCATCCATGCTGCTGGCTACTGGTTGGTTGAGGAAGAGCCGAAGCCTTGGCAGATCCAGTATGATGGGTTGGACGCAAAACCAGCAGCAGGGGATGGGTTGAGCGGACCACGGCATGACGAGCTGGCCAAGTTGAGGACGCTTCACGAGGAGAGGCAGGTTGGTAGCGCCAAGAAGGAGACAGGAGAAGAAGGGAGCAATGCATTGCTTGAGTGAGGCCAGAAAACGTTGGCTGCATGCATTGTATGCCGGGACCTGCTTGGACCCAGATGCTGAGGCTCGCAGCAGGCTGTTGAAGAGGGCGAAGCGCTTTGGAGGCAAGGGCTCAAAGAAGAGGAAGCGATCGTCCAGTGAGGAGACGTGCAGCTCGAGCGCCTCGAGCGAGTCGGAAGAAGATGGTGAAGGCTTGTTCGAAGAGCGCAAGCGAGCCCTGCGCCTGACGCGGCGCTACCCAGGAAGCCTGGCAGCACAGACGGTCGCCAACATGAAGGAGTCCTTGCTTACCCAGATCGGAAGCCTGTACTCCCAGGATCGGAAGACTCTTCCTCCGATCTTTTCGCAGTATTACCGCTCGGAGATGCAGCCACTATGCTCGCCGTCGATGAGTCAAGAGCTCCTTATGCTGTCACAGGGGGCCGACTTGCTACTTCGTGGACATCCTGCACGCGCGCTGGACTTGGTGGCACAGCGTATCAAAGCCCTCGATCAACAGATTCGAGGCGGACATTGGACAGTTGCGAGACAGCTGGAGTTGGTCAGCGCTGACTCCGTCGGGTTGAGCCTTAAGGTCCTGAAGGACAAGAAGCCGCGAAGTTGGCCCGTGAAGAGCTCAGAGATCGCCTAGCTTCCCAAAGACCATACTCCGCCAGTGGTTCAGGAGGCCGAGAAAAGGGAGAAAGTGCTGGGAAAGGAAAGGATCGTTACACCTCCGGAGGAGACAAAGGAAAAGGAGAGAAAGGGAAGAGAGAAAAGGGAAAAGGAAAGAAGAAGAATGAGTAATAAAAGGCACAAGAAAGACTCCGAAGGAGGTTTGAGAGACGATCCAAAGGACAAAGCAGAGGAGCTTGAAGAGGATGGTGCATTGAGGGGTGCGACATTGGTTGATACATTGGGCGTGTTGGAGGATGAGGCAATAGAGAGGCTGTTGGAAGAGAGTTCAAAGAGGGGCTATAGTATGAGGGCTGAGCAGGGCAAGTCGAGAGAAAGTTTTCCAAGGGAGAATGTGGTCTCCCAGTGTCGTGAGGCGATGACAGGAGGCGCTGAGGACATTGGGCAGACTGCGTATGAAGTTGAAGGGGAGCGAGACTCCCAGCACTTGAGAGGTCGCAACGAGAAGTCCAATGGTGTTGGGAGAGGAGTTGGCCCGACGACTAATGCCTCCCCACTGGTGAGTGGGTCGAGATGGACGTTGTCGGAAGCAAGCAGGCGGCAAGCATTTCATATTTTCCAAACATTCAAACAAATGTTATATATTACTAGAAGAGTGTCGTCAACACCTTGCCACGACATGTCGAAAAAAAGGGTTTGCGTTTTGAGGAGCTTGGGAAGGTTCTCTTAGAGGCGTTGAAGGTGCAGGAACAGATGTACACGCGTTGCAGCAAGACCAAGGGGGACTTGTTCTCCTTGCCCCTTCCATCGTCTTTGGAGGCCTCAAGCTCCCCCATGTTTTGTGCAGATGCAGTGGTGCAAGCATTGAATTCATTGTACGGGACAAAGACCATTGAGAGATCCAGTGATCAATCAGGCCTTGAAAGGTGATGCAAGGCTGGCCTCAGGGCATCAAGAAATCAGGCGAGATCGGCCTTCACCTTTTCAGGATTTATCTTGATAACTACGATGAGCTGAAAAAGGTAGATAGGTCTTTAGCTGAGATGGTGGCTGGGACCCCCTCAGCCTGGACGCTAGCAGTGAGGCAGACCTATGAGACCCTTGGACTCCCCCGGCATCCCAAGAAAGCCGTGATGCAATCCGTCAAGGCAGAGGTTCAAGGCGCTTGGGTGGGTGGTGAGCTCGGTAGAGCCGGGCCCAAGCCCGAAAAGGTGATGAGGTACGTGAAGCTTGCTTGCGAGGCAGTGATCAAAGGGAAGGCTTCACAGCGAGAGCTCCAAGTTATCGGAGGAGGCTTTGTATACATTGCGATGTTCAGGCGCCCTCTTCTAGCAGGGTTGAATGCAATCTGGAGACGCGTGGTCGAACTGGACAACCTCAAGGCGACGCAGAGAGCTAGCTTAGGACCAGAGGTAGAGCATGAGATCATTCGGTTTGTCGCTTTGACCCCGCTAGCCTATATGGACTTTCGCACACCGATCTCAGAGAAGGTGACGGCGAGTGACGCCTCCACAACTGGAGGTGGGTTGTGCGTGTCGAGGAATGTTAGCCCTTACGGGATAGCGGCAAGCTTGGCCAGTTGCAGGGGAGATGTGATCTCCCAGGATGAAGTATATAGGTGCGATCCTGGTGGTGTCCCTCTTCGATGGCATTGGAGCTCTCCGCATTGCAGTAGACGCCCTTCAGGTGCCAGTTGCTGGGTACGTTGCTGCGGAGATTTCTCCGGGTGGTTGAAAGCTGGTTTCCCGAGGTTGTGAAGAAGATCGACGAGCACGAGGCTAGTAGTTGGTGCCTGAGATTCCCTGGCGTTTGCGCGGTCCTCCTTGGCGCCGGGCCACCATGTCAGGGCGTATCAGGATTGAACACGGATCGAAGGGGTGCTCTGCGTGACGTGCGTTCCTGCCTCTTCTCCCACGTGCCGCGAGTTGAGGAGCTCTTGAGGAGGTTCTTCTCGTGGTGTCCGGTGTTCACTCTTGTTGAGAATGTGGCCTCCATGGATGTTGAAGATTGTAGGGTTATGTCGAAAGCCTATGATATTTATCCGTGGCTGGTGGACTCGGCAAGCTTGTCCTTGTGTCGACGCCCCCGGTTGTATTGGTTTAACTGGGAGCCAAGAGAAATCCAAGGTGCCTCGATTTGTCGTGGAGAGACTCATCGCTTACCACTGGCCGGGAGCCTACGCGTTGAGGCGAAGATCGATGAACGTGACTTCTTGGAACCCGGTTGGAAGCTTGCATCTCAGGGTAGTCTCCCCACCTTCACCACCTCACGACCATCTCCCATGCCAGGAAGGAAGCCGGCGGGGCTCGCGCTGTGTCCCCCTGAAGCTGTTGCCAGGTGGCGCGCTGATCAACACAGGTTCCCCCCATACCAATACAGATGGGAGAACACTGTCATCGACTCCCAAGGGGACGTGCGAATTCCTTCCATAGTTGAGCGGGAGGCGATCCTAGGCTTTCCCTTCCAGTATACTGCTAAGTGTCTTCCCAAATCTGAG